TATATATATATATATATATATATATATATATATATGTATATATCTTGCCAATACTCGTTAATCATTCTCAATAAAAAATAAAACGAGATGAATTTTTTTTGGCTGCTAACAATACTATAAATTCGTACTTAGCACGTGTATAATGCGAATGATTTATTAAAGGACTGTCTTTTCGCGCGTCATTAAAATTTGCATGAAACAGAAGCTGTAGCGATATTTCACTTGTAAATCGATGAAAATAAAAGCTCAACGCAACAAGAAACAAAACGCATCCTGCCAGAATTTCTAGCTATTTATTCATATTGAAGTGGACCAAAAACAATTGCCTTTCACCGACACGTGAAAATGAACATTCAATGCAAATAATATAGAAGGAATCAACGAATGAAAATAATCTCTGGCGATTTCTTCGTCGGAAACACTTCTTTGAAAAGACGAGATAATAACCAGAACGGCTTTATTGATCTTGAAATCTACCTACCTGTCGCACCGCGTCTTCTCGCACGTGAAAAAATAAACTTTTCGACAAATAAAGTTAGACTTCGATATTTCGTATTTCAAATTCTATTAGAATTAAATGGAACCATTACATGCAACTGATAAAGTAATTTATATCTACATGATAAAGTAATAAATATCTATATCTATATCTATATGATATATCTATATGATATATGATACATCTATATCTATATGATATCTATATGATATATGATACATCTATATCTATATGATATATCTATATGATATGATACATCTATATCTATATGATATATCTATATGATATATGATACATCTATATGATAAAGTAATAAATATCTATATCTATATGATATATCTATATCTATATCTGTATAATAAAGTAATAAATATCTATATCTATATCTATATCTGCATAATAAAGTAATAAATATCTATATCTATATCTATATCTATATGATATATCTATATCTATATGATATATCTATATGATATATCTATATGACATGATATATCTATATCTATATCTACATGATAAAGTAATAAATATCTATATCTATATCTATATGATATATCTATATGATATATGATATATCTATATCTATATGATCATCTATATTTCTATATCTATATCTATATTTATATCTATATGATAAAGTAATAAATATATCTATTATCATTAGCATTAAACTATTATATCAATATTATACTCAAATCAATTATATAATATTAATCTATTATATTTAGCGTTCAACAGCGCGATATGCGCAAGAGAATCTATGCTGAATTAACAAATGCAAACACAAACAAATAGAATATTACTATTCACAATAATCTATATTCGTCAAAAATTCAACATAATACAACATAATACAACCAGTCACCCGTGTCGATTCAGATCTTTCATCCTACGACATGATTGAGTGACCAGGGGGAACAAAAATGCATACGACTCACGATTAGATGCGAAGAACGTTGCCATCAATGTAATTGTGGTCTAGGGAAAGTCATTGCAAAGCTTGTCATCAAATCATCGAATCGCATGGAAGAAGTAAAGGCTGGGAAAAGTCTGTAACGAAGAATAAAATTTAATTCAATTTCATTTATTCTTAACAACAGTGTTGATTATTTGAAGTGCTTGAATAATGAAACGTACGTACACTCCTTAGCTTTCTAAGCAGCATTAGGATCCTTTCCAGAGAACAGGGAAAAGGGAAACCTGAGAAAATATACGAATTATTCTAATTTGTTCTGAAAAAACATGACGATATATTATTGTACTATACTTGAGATAAAATGTAAAACTCTGTAAGAAACTTGGAACTTTAATAATAGATTTTAATAATAAAATTAAAATTCTGAATGCTTGCTATTAGAATTTTCAAATATATTTCAAATCAGTTAAATGTGCGTTTTATGCCAATTACAAACAAAGCAGAACGCGTTTAAATCTATCAGCGATAGCGTCCTCTTTCAAAAATAACAAGAATTATTGAGAAAGATTACCAACTTCAAGTTACAATTTACAATTTACAAAATGTAAATTATATAAACAGGAAAGAATAATTAAAGTCGAATGTAGTTTCGATGTCATAATACAAACTAACAAGTATAACAATCAAAGAAAAAGGAATAACATTTAGTTTAAATTATAATAATTTATAATTTAAATATAGTTTAAATTATAATAATTATATAATTTGACAAATTATTAAATAAAACCGTACGTTAATGAAACGAAGTTAATAGCGTAGATATAACGTGAGATTGAGGACGAATAAACGCCATACGTCTTAACGATTCGACGATTGACAACAAAATACCCCTCCGCGCAACAAGTTTGGATATATAACCTGCGTCGTAAAGTTAATTTTGAAAGGTGTGGACACAACTGTGTACGAGAACTAGTTTCTTGGAAAAACAAATCGTTCTAGATATCCTCAACAATGAGAATGTATCGTATACCATATGTATGTTATTATACAAAACAGTTTTGTAATTACTATTAGAAGTATATACAAGATTCGACTTACAATTTGTAAAGAAATATATATTCATTTCACTTATCAACAAACGACTGAATCGTACATATGGAATAACTGTTTTAAACAATGCTCACTGTTCTTGATAGACACATTCGATAATGCAAAAAATAAATCTGAGAACTATTGATTGTAATTTTTACCTAACATTTTCCGCATAATAGATCCTTCT